GAATCTCACTTCTTTAACATTTCCAAGTTGCCATTTGAGCCCTAAAGAAGTGTTAGGCCGGGCTTTCGCTATGCTTCACCAAGTATGTGAGCATGCCTGGGTTTTGAATTCAAAATTTCTCTCAGTAGACCAATTGTATTTTGCTCCAAGAACTTGTACCCATAAGAGGTTCGATTTGCTCACTGGGTGGAGTCCAAACTTGAAGAGAAAGACATTGTTTTGACTCTACATTTTTTTTTTCACACCACAGCCCCCATTCTGGGTTGGTTGGCATAATTCATCCCGGTTCACTAAATGAATACTTCTATGCATGGTGCTTGAGCCCCATATGAAGTCCCTAATTAACTTTTCAATCTGGTTACAATAGGAAACAGGTAGCATCGAGCTTTGCATGGCATAATAAGATATAGTTGAGAGCACTGACATGGCTAGAATAATTCTTCCAGCAAGAGAGAGAATGCAAGATTTCCAAGGGGATAGTTTTTGCTGGATTCTCTCAAAAATGTAGGCATAGGTGTCTTTAGTGACTCTTGAGTGAAGGAGTGGAACGCCGAGATATTTGCCCAACTGATCTATTTTTCTATATCCCCACTGAGCACAAATTGCATCTGAGTCTTGCTTCTTCACATTCTTTGAGAAGATATGCATGTTTTAGCTTGACTGATAGAGTGGCCGAACGCAGAACAGAAGTCATCTAGCACCTTTTTATCAAATCGACCTGGCTAGGCGAAGTGGTGCTGAATAGGATCAGATCATCTGCAAAGAATAGGTATAAAAGCGGCGGGCCTCTTTACCTATCAAATTAAGTCATAAATTAAGCACAGGAAGAGTATCAGATACTTTAAAATGTGATACCACTATTTGGCCAAAAATAAGTTTGCTCTAATTCAAGAAAGCTCCCTTAACCTTTTGTTTTAAATTTCACTAGGCTTCAAGTTAAGAACTTAAAAGGATATTGTGCTGCTAAGTACTTTGCCTTTTTTCGTTTAATTAAATTTCTTTTGCTGGTCATAATAAAAAAGATTGTGTTGCTTAAATATCAAGCCAAGCATAAACATAGCATAAACATATTTAGGAATGGTTATTTATATCCACTCTTTAAGCGGTCTAATGTTCTCCATAAAACATAATTTTACCTCGGTCATATTTAGGACCAAATCAAATATTTAATTAATTATTCTTATATTTAGAATTAGATGTAGTATTTGTGGTTGTGATGACTATCAATCCATGAAAAATGGATGCACTAATTAAAAAAAGTTTTTTTTTTTGCATACATATTCTCTATTGAAGGCAATTAAGGTATTGATGAAGATTTATTTTCATATAAAAAAATTTATGTGAGTTGGATTCTAGGGCTCCCCATAGCAGCACCTTTGTGTAGGTAAGATTTAAGAGGTGTTTGGATGGAAGCAAAACCATAGTTTTAAAAATATTTTTACAATGTATAAAATAAATACGTGGAGGAGTTTGTCTTATTTTATAAAAAAAGGTTTCTAAGAAGTACTTTTGAAAGCACCCCTTACTAGAGTATTGGAGACTTGGATCTTTCAAAGAGCCGGGCAATAAAGAAATGCGGCCCAATCCATAATGAACAAATCTGGACCGTACAGTTTAAGCTTTGAACTTAAAATTAGGGGAAGGAACTAAGGCGATGGCCCCTATGAATAATAGATTCATATCATTGCCCAACCTCCACGCCAGGCCCAGCCCAAATAGATAAAGATGCACTAATCTAATTTTAATTAAAATTATCACAAGAAAAACGAGATGGATGAATCCATTTTGTAACCGCGTTCTCTCTATGGATGGTATATTTAAGTCCTCCTCAATCTAATTATCTTAATTTAAATTAATTCTCTCATCTTCTTCTATTATTTTTATCAAGTTATATTGATTATGATGATTTGTTTTCTCGTCTAAATTTCGTTGTTTATACTCTTTTAGAACATCAAATATAAATAATTCATATTCAATCTGAAATTCTGAATAATTTAACAAACCGAGAGAAGGAATAAAAATATTAAAAAGAAAAAAGAAAAGAAAAGACGGCGCATGGGATTACAACTAATTATAGGCTCACAGATGGAAAACAGACAAGCACTCACAAGTCACAAAAGTTAAATATCCTCCCACCAGGTCGTGATTCGGTCAAGACGGCGCCGTCTTAATATGGACCATAATATAATTAGGAAAACCATAAACATAAGTAGGTAGATTAGCAAGCTAGGAGTTAGAGCGGCCTTCTTATTTGTTACTCCCTCCTACATCTTTTATTACAAGAAAGAATTACCAAAATCATGCAATTCAAAATGTTAGCTAGATTTAGTTAAAAATAATAAACACTTAAAATATATTTTTTCCAATTATACTCTTGTTTCTATATAAAGTTAATGGGTGAAAATTTATTGCAGAGAGATAATAAATACTACCTTCGGTCTTTAATATAAGAGCTAGTTAACTAATTTGAGTAGATTAAAAAAACTAGTTATGTTAGTTATGTATAATAAATATGTATTATTTTTCCTAAAATATCTTTACTAATCAAATATATTAATTAAAACTGTCATTATTATAAAAACTACCTTAAAAAAATAGATAAATATAAAAGACAAACTGAATTGGGGTTCTATATTTAGAAACAAAATAAAAATCAAACGGGATCTTATATTAATGATGGAGCACTGATTTATTTCGCAGCCTGTTCCTACTGACTTTGGTCCCAAGCCACACAATAATACATAACAAACAAAAATTAGAGGCCCCTTGGACACTACAATAAAAAAAATTATCATATTTTAAAATTATATAAATTAATTATTCAAGAGACTTATGTTCTTTTTTTTCTTAGAAAGAAGCAGATAGATGGGGGAAAATACCATATATAAATAATAAAGCCTGAAAAGAACAAATGCACATGTAATAATGAACAGAGAATTGAAGAAAGGAGGGAGGGAGATCATATGGGGCTGGTTTATGTGTCTCCCAAGCACTAAGCATTGTGATATGCAATATGCTTTTTCTATTTTTGTCCATTTCAATAAGTCCCCTCGCCTGTAGTTTTCACCTCCCTAAATTACAATCTTACCCTCACTTGTCCCTAATTTATTAGTATAAAAAGGTTTTTTTTTTCCACCACAGTATATAAAGGGGATTCTCCATAAAAATATAAGAATATTTGTTGTAACAGTTTTGATTAATGAAAGACGTTTTAATTAAAGATTTTAAATTGAACTCGACCAAAAAAATAAAATTGAACTAAAATATAATTTAATGCAATGTATGAGCACAGTCCGCATATTTCAGTACTAGCACGGGAGTTTGGTTTTATTTCGTCCCAAAAAATATCCAGAGGTCTTTTTTTTTTGAGTAGGATGGTATCGCTAACTCAGGGTATCCCAGTCCATCCGGCCAGACTAATCCCAGGTGCACTCGCAGGTATCGAGGCCATGACATGGTAGGAAAGGCGCCTTGCGTTCCCGTTTGCAACCAGTCGGACCCGACCCTTGCAGGCTATCCAGAGGTCTTTTTTGACCTGGGTAAATATATCCTAGCCTCTATTCTAGTTATATGTGTACATATATTATTATTTCTGTTTTTAATATAAAAGTTAGTTTAACATTTAGTTTGATGCTAAATATAAAATCTTAATATATTTTGTTTATCATATTTATTTATTTTTTTAAAATAGTTCTTATAATAGTTGCATATATTAAAAGTTTCATCAAATGATAGTTCTAGAAGATATACATGATTAGTAAAAATATTTTTTAAAAAATAATATCTATTTATTACAAATAATTAGTTTAATAAATTTTTTAATTTATTTAAATTAATTAATTAGTTTTTATATTAAAAACACGAACCAGCGTATAAATACATACATGAAGGAATATTAACTGGAGTCACTTTTATGCACTGAACACGAGAATGAATCACGACTCACGAGATTCCAAAAGTTATAATAAAACAATAATCAAAATAAAATTTATTTTATTTCGTGACAAAAAATATTTTGCCATTCTGCATAATAAGAATGAGTTCTTGTAGACTGTAATAACTTTGGTTTTATAATATCATTTTGTCTTTTATATGAAAGAAAAAGAATGAGTTTTTTATAGGAAAATATTTAGGTCAAATTTCTTATATCTATTAATATATATTTTTTGTTTCACATGAATTTATAATTAAATACTATTAAATATTAATATTTAAAAAATATAACACATCGTCATGTGTGATAGGAGAACTTATTATAATAGATATAAGAAACTTGATATAAGTATTTTTCTTTTTTATATTCTTAGGAAGTTTAAAATAAATTATATGATTGAGGTCAAAAAAATAAATTATGCGATTTATATTTTTATGTAACGGTTTATAAATAACTTGAATTCCAATATTTTTATATTTTACAGCCATGATGATATGAAGAGAACTAATTCTATTCTTTTTCTAACTATAAGTCTATTTATTTAATTCAATTTAAATTAGTCCAATCTAATATAAATTATTAAAAGCAAAGTGGTTAATAAAAGATATGGTATATTTAGTGCTACAATATGTAAAAGTTAGATAACTATTAAACAATTAGTTAAATTTATTATTATAATAAATATGTGTTGATTTATCTGAACTACCCAATTTAATAATGTACTGTAACAACTCCTCAGTAATAACCCTTTACCATAAATAGATAATATTTTTAAAAAATTATAAATTTTAAAAAAATAAATTAAAATGTTATATTTAGAACTCAACGTCCAACTCACTTTCATACTAAGAATTCCAGTTAATATATAGTTTAAGTAAGACGGCTGACGGCTGTATATGTATTAAAAATTAAAAAAAATCATCTAATTTTAATACAATTATTAAAAAAAAGATAATATTTTTGACCAAATTTTGAAAATTTCATTGCAGTTTTCTGAATGTACAGGTATGATCACATGATAAGTACATGAACAGAATCCTAAACAGCAGAGTTCACGAGGATTTGGTCACGAAAAAGATCAAATAACTTCAAAAACACTTGAAAAAAAATTAATAATCACAATCTCTACTGTTTCTTCTTCTTCTTGATCTTCCCATTGCAGAACAGCGAACCGAATCCGAACAAACTCATCGAACCTTTAGGAATATATGCTTGCGGAAGATTCAAAACAGGACTAATTCGAACTCCATTACCAGAGAATCCACGATTTTTCTGTAAAAAATGTTTCTGAGACGAGCTATAGAAATAATATGTACTTGAACTTGAAGAGGATGAAGATGATGACGATCTCCTGCTAGAAACAGAGGATTGCTTCTGCAAACCCTGCTTCTCCCGTGCTCCCTTCGAAGTCTCTGTTTGTTTCAGATTTAATGCCGAACCAGTCGAATTACTTCGTGATAGAAACTGTAGCGATCGAATCAAGCTTTTCCCTCGCGTAGTAGCATCACAATTCAAACTGCTACTTCGTCCGAATTGCCATAGGGATTTAAACGAAACTCTATCTTCCTCTTCTTCATCATCATCCTCGTCGTATTCTTCTTCAGTATCTTCGGATAAGAACTCTTTGAGCATCTTCTTCACGGAGCATGTGGAATTTGAAGAAGGCTGAGACTGAGAACCAAGACGAGATGATTGGAGAGATTGATGTGTTTCATTTGGGGAATGGGTAACCCTGTGAAGTTGCATGGGCACGATCTTGCCATCGGAGAAAAGCTCGTCGGCTGAAGAGATTTTCTGAGAGAAGCCACTGGCGACGCAGAAAACGAAGTCGGAGCCGGAGTCTGATCCCCGTTCAGTATGATCCTCATCGTCGGTGTTGTTCAGATCATGGGAGAAGGAGATTCGAGGGCTGATTCCAGTACTGGATGTCTCAGAGGAGGGCTCAATGGCCATCAAGAGTGGGGAAAGTTAAGAATCAGAAATTGTTGAATCTCTTGGAAGTGTTCGATGGAATGCCTGAGAGAGAAAGTTGTGGGGAATTAAGGGGATATGAAGTCAGAAATTGCAGCTTTTAGCTTTCGGGGTGAGGGAGGAAGGAGCATGTTCCATAAATGGAGGAGTAGCGAAAATTGGCATTTTGGGTGGATTGGATTCTTTTCTTTTCCTTCTCTTCTATCTTATCAATGGGAAGGGGGGAGAGAGAGAGAGAGAGGGCATCTTTCTTAGTTACAGGGATTTCTTCCCCACCAACTTTTAATAATTTTCTAGTAATTACATTTTCTATAGTCATGTAGTCATACATTAAAAAATTTAGTTGTATTTGTATTAAAAAAAAAATTAGTTGCATATGTTGAGATGGTAAGCGGCCTAATTTCTATAAGGAAAATAACACAGGTTTGAATATTGAAAAGCATATTTGTTCAGAGTGCTTTAAACTTAACATTCCTGACCTGATAGAAATTAGTTTCAAATTTAAAATGATTTAAAGATACTTAGAATTATGTAAAAAAAAATTATTTGCATATATAATCTACATTTTATATTTATTTTTCTTTATCTCTTATCAAAAGTGTAGTTTGTAGCGATTATAACTAGCCTAGTTTAAGTTTGAGCTGTTTAACAAAAAATATATTTAAATGGTACTTCTGCAATCCTTAATATAGAATCTAATTGTTAAGTTAATTTTGATTCTAAATATAAAATCTATTTCTTATATTTATCAATTTTTCTAAATTACCCTTATAGATGCTACCTCAACCATAATTAAGTAAGTGAGAAATGAAGGATATTAAGAAAGATGATTATGGTGTTCTAAAAACACATGTCATTTTTTATAATTAACTAACTTACTTGACTTTCTTAATCTAATCAAATTAGTTAAATAGGTCTTATATTAAAGATCAAATGAGATGAGTGATACTGATACCTAACCCTTTTTAAGTAAATAAACCAAACCTATTTTAAAATAGAGTTGTAATTTGTAAGCTTTTACGTTGACCGGAATACATTGATGTATTAATAAACTACTTATATATATAAGCATACAAACATATATTTATATATTAAAATATATAAAATATAATTTACTTTTTATAAACTTTTTTCATGGTCGTTGTTTAAAAGATATTTTTAATAATTATTTACATTACACTAGTTAAAAATGTTGTTTGTTAGTAAAACCTTTAGACTTGAGGACATGCCAAGCTTTTAAAATGCCCAGATATGAACTTAAAAAATAAAAACAAAAAACCCTCCATAGACCTATAATGCAGGCCGGCTGAGGACCAATTCTCAGAAGTTATTTAAAACAAACATTTCGATGGGCACTTTGGTTTTAGATTTTTTTTTTCGAGTTCAAAAGGGAGCGTCGTAATGAATGCAATACTTGTATCTTTTTTGTATCCATTTAATATTTGAGAACATGATTTTCGCATTAATTTACTTATTTGATCCATAGTGCAATACCTAATTAACTAATTTGAGTAAAGTATTGATATTAGTTAAATTACTTAATATCATATGTTTTTTTCTAAAACACTCTAAAATCTTTCTTAATTTCTTTTTTTCTCTTCAACTCTATTATTATTAAAAGAATATCATCAATAGAATTAATTTGAAAAAAATTGATAAATATGTGAAATAAATCTTATATAGAGAATAAATATCAACTCTTTAATTAGATCTTACACAAGAACTAAAAGAATATTGTATTGTGAGGACTAATCCTTTCGATTAGGTTTAACTCATGTTGATTGATTTAGAAATATTTTAGGGGGACAGTGTTAAACTATATAAATGAATATGAATAAGTACATGGTTTTATTTTTATTTTCAGGCTAAATTTTTTTCCATCCTTGAAAGTTATCATGTTTTACGTTTGATAAATTTGCATATAATTTTCAAACTAAAACATCAACAATTATTAATCCGAGATAAGATAGATATGATTAATCGAAGCTCTCATTTCAGTAAAAACTAAAAACTCACATTTCCACATTCTTTTTGGCAAAACCATATTTTATGTTGTCACTAAAAGTGACACCGTTTATGGTTATAGAAACAAATCTGACGTACATATGATTAGACGACACGTTATATGTTATTAACACTATAAAAAAAAAAAAACAGAGAGAGAAGGGCAAAAAAAAAAAAAAAAAGAACTCCCCCATCATTCCGATGAGAGTTAAGTTGTCATTTTCCATAAAAGATTATCCTTTTCTGAAGGAAAGTTACCAAAATCATTTTTGGATTCTTGAACTAGACATGGAAATTTTTATTCCCATAATCATGTTTTTCAACTTTTTAATAAAGGAAGATTCTCAAACCAGGTCTCATCACACAAAAAGGAATAACTTTTACTCCCGAAAGCAAATGTTTAATAATTATTGTCTTAATTAATAATCATACAAACAAAAGACAAAGTAAATATTCAAGACACAACATGTCTTTTGAGTTAGCTAGCAGAGTACGTACTCATTAATCAATTATTTCACGAAGATGAGTATTAATAAAATGTCAGATAATTTGCAGAAACAAAATAGCTCTCCATGTGTTTACGATGGATCTGAACGACATGAACTCATCCAGATCTGCAGATAATTTTTTGTGCTGTCAATTATTTGAAATTATTTTATTGAGTGGATTTTGTACATTTTCCAACATATATGTTGACGTTGTCAACATGAGTGGTGGTAACACAACGTTCATAATTGATCTTCTCAGCATCATGTCCCATCCCATGTAGAGGAGGACCCAATTGGGACAATTTAAAGGAAAAATAACATCTAAAAACCCATTATTTTCATAAATTTGTTAAATATTTTCAAGGGTAAAGTAGCATCTAATACCCTAATGTTATTTCTCAGGTATATCTAACATCCTGATTTTATTTATAGTTTAAGGTGCTAAATACACTATACATATGATTAGGGTATTGAAAGCACTATAAAAATAATATCAGAATATTATATTAATTATAAATAAGATTAGGATATTGAATGCGGCTAGAAAATAAGTCAATGTGCTAGATACTACTTTACAAAAAATAAAATAAAATTATTACTTACTTCGCCAAAAGAAAATATTTCTAAGTTATATGTCTCTTTTGAGAAGGCTGTTTTTAAATATTAAAAGTTATTATTTCCATAAATTTTGATGATTATTTTTAAACATTAAAGAGTTATATGTCTTTTTAGATAAAAAGGTATCCAATGCACTAATGCAAACACACATAATTTATAATTTTATAGATGGAAAGATTTTTTTTTTATATAGTTTTATATATGTCCTGATATTAATTAACCATTGTTACTCGGTAATAATTACAGTTTTTAAGATTGTTATTGGGTAATAAAGGGAGAAATACTTCTAAAAAGCTAATTTTTTTCTAATTCAGTTTAAATATTTTTTTGAAAAACATAATCACTTCTTAAAGAATCAAAACTGTTGCTAAGTTGTAACTTGTAAGTCCCTCTTGAGAATGTTATTTTTTAAATATTAAAAATATGATTTTCATTAAATTTGATCGTTCTCTTAAATTTGTTAGTAAGTTTTTCTTTTTTAAAAAAATATAAATATATTTTATAAATGTATTGATATTAGTTAACCATTATTATGGGGTAATAATTACTATTTTTAAGATTGTTTAGCGTAATGTTTGTATTCAAAAAAATATCTGGGCAGTTAATTTTAGTTTTTTCGCCAAGTTAAGCAAAGTCCCAAACTAGTCGCTGTTGAAGGGAAAATGATGAATTATTGCTGGATGAGAAAGCACAATCAGGTGTACCGGAGCCACAAGTTTGATAATAGTCTCCCGACTTTAATACAAAAATTAATTAACTAATTTGAGTAAATTAAAAATATTAATTAAATTAGTTAATATGATATGTTTTTCTTTAAAACACCCTAAGCATCTTTCTTAATTTCATTCCTTCTCCTACTTGATTATTGTTGGGAAATATTGATAGGGTTAACTTGAAAAAAATTAGTGGATATATAAAATAGGTCTTATATACATAGGACTAAGATTAACTCTCTAATTAAGGGGGTGTTTGGATAGAAACCAAATCATGGTTTCAGAAGTGCTTTTATGGATTACGAAGTAAATATGTGGAGAAGATTACCTCGTTTTGCGGAAAAGTGATTCTGAAACCGTGATTTTGGTTTTGCCAAACGCCCCTTAAATCACATATTAAGAATTGGAGGAGTACCATTTTAAGCCATATTGGTAGCATTGTGGCTAAGAGAATATGATAATGTTTCCTCACAACACAGGACATGTTTGGAACAGCTTATAAGTAACTTTTTCAATCGTGATTTACGAAATGCGAGGACAAGATGTGAGATAAATTTTACCTCGATTTACGTGAAACGTGTTTATGATTGATTTTCACCGCTATCCAAATAAGTCCACAATAGGCCAACATTTTCAAACTCATAATATGTATTCCACATGTTTGGTATATATGATAGTGAGAAAATAAATTGGGAAAATAATGGGAGAAGGAAACCATGAAATATGATTGACTTCTTTATCATCTTTCCATTTTCCCCAACTGTTTTCCGTCATATGCTCAGTTGTAAATCACCCTGCAAGTTGCATTACATCAAAACATCATTTTCTCTCAGCCAAAAGACGTGAGAAAAGGGATCAAATAAGTTTGAAAAAAAAGAAAAAAGAAAAGAAAAAAAATGGTTTTAACAGTTTCTAACCAAAAATACCGTCATGAAAAAATATGTTCTTTTTGGCTACTGAAGATCAGATCGGTAAATGAATTAATCGAGACAATGGTTTAAGTTTAAGGGTTAGTAATTAAACTCAATGTTAACTTAGGGTAAGACTGGTTATAATTAAAATAATATTTAAATGAAAAAGATGTTAATTCAAACATTTATGCGTCAGCTATAAACAATCTAACAAAATCAGTGCAGGAGTGGTTGGACTGATATCCAGGCAATGCATAGTGGCCAATGGGCTTCAATTTGAATTTAAATTTGGGCTGTTTTTATTTTCCACATCTTATCACCTGAGTTAATAATGCGTGGTGCATTTGCTATCTTTTTTTAAATTTCACTTTTTTCCCCCTATATTTCAGTGTAAATTGTATATTATTTATTTTATTTCAATGACAATCCATAGACATTTTTTTTTGTTACATAAAAATTTTAGGTGAGTTGGGT